TGATCTTTATCACTTTATCACACTTTCTAATTAACTAGAGTGACTGTCACACTTGGATAACTCAGAAGTTAAATAATTTCATATATTATAAGAAGGGTCGGAGAGATTGTTCTATAGGCTGAAGTACTTGGTTTGCATTTGTAAGGCCTAGCCTCCATCTTTGACACTACATGGTTCAATAAGTATTGCAGGAATAATCCCGAAACATAAAGATCCTGAACACCTCCTATGGCCACAAAATCAAACAAGCAAATCAAAAAAAGATACTCTCATGAAAAATCTAATACTATTATGATATAAACCTGCGGGATTATTGAATATTACACAATCCATTTTTTGTGATTGATTTTTTAAAAATCTACTTTATACAGAACTTTAAAAAATGATTGAAATGTACTGGAAGCTAAATATAAGTGAACTAATTTTTGATTTAAATGTTTTCATATATAAATTAAACAACATGGGGCTGGAGAGATAACACCGCGGGTAGGGTGTTTGCCTTGCACACAGCCGACCCGGGTTCGATTCCCAGCATCACATATGGTCCCCTGAGCACCGCCAGAAGTAACTCCTGAGTGCAGAGCCAGGAGTAACCCCTGTGCATCGCCAGGAGTGATGCAAAAAGAAAAAAAAAAACCTTTAAATTAAACAACAAATAACATGAATTTGGTGAAATTGTTTCACAGCAATTATAATTTATCACGTTTTCTTGAAAACTAAAATTAATTCCTTCCTGATTTTTTTAATCTGTTGTTTAAACAAAAAAAAAGTAGTAATTTAAACACAGTATGGTATAATTTAGTAATCTGAAAAACAAAAATGTGGATCTTCATTTTTATTATACCTGACCATGCCAGGTGTAACTACTACTCTCTTATTCCATCACTTCTGTGGTAGGATGCAGTGACTTTTATCAAGTATTTTCATGAGTTATTGCTTTCTCAGTACTGCCAGCTCTCACAATGATAATTAAAGAAAAAATTTACCCCCAAAAGTTAGCAGCATGGAGGTATAATTCTTTCATCAGCAAAAATGATAGTAAGACTATGAAACATTCAAAATAATATAAAAAAATAAGTAGTTTAACATTTGAGGATTTAATCTTCTAAAATCTGCTCATAGTAAAAAGGAAACTGAGGACAAGAGGATTACAATAAATTCTCTAAACCTAAATAATTAATGGAATTAGTGGTAGGTTAAAGGGTTGTGGGTAAATGCAAAATTATGAACTGGATTTCTGGCATCTTGCAATTTAAGTGACTTGGCATCTATTTATATGGGTTAGATTACAGATTCATTGTGTAACCAAGATTCTTCCATTATCATTAATTAAAATGCAACTGTAATTACACTATTTGAACTATAACTTTGTGCCATTCCTTTTCTGACCATGACTGCTGCCCCCACCCCTCATACTTCAGGAAGCTTCAGAAAGCAAAAACTGGTACTGGGGACATAGCCCAAGTTGGCAGAGCACATGCATAACACTATTGAGTTATGAGACCTAGCTTTTATCCTTTGCCCTGCATGGTCCACAGCTTGATGAGTGAACTCCTATAATATTTAAAATTATAAAGAAAAATGGCAGGGTAGATAGTACAGGTCAGTGGAGACCACATAAAGGAGTTCCCACCTGCAGTCAGTAAACTATAGCTTCATTTCTCCAACATCCCATCGGCATTTCTTTCTAAAAGCAATATATGAATATACTTATTTATTACATGCCCTTCAACTGTATAAACCCACCAGTCCCTCCATAAATATGTATAATATTCCTCAATAAAATATTAGATATGTTTAGACTCACAACATCCTAATTCTATCAGACACCAATATCTGCTTTTTTTTTTCCTGCTTTCTGGGGCAAGAAGACTACATCTGGTCGTACACAGTGGTCACTCCTAACAGTGTTTGGGGGATAGTCAGTGGCAGAAATCAAATCCTGGCCTCTTGCATGCAAACAGCCAATCAGTCCACTATATCTCTGGCCCTTCATCTCCTTTTCTTCGGGTTGGTCTACAGCATGTGCTGGCGAGACATGCTTCCAGGCTTATGTTGTTTTATTGCTGATAAAACTTCTTTCTTTTATTCATTGTTTATTAATTTTTGTATTACACCACAACTTTCACCAAAAGATGGAGAACATTGCAATTTTAATTCAATAGCCACTTTTCTTTATTCTCTCCATAAACACACATACACACACACACACACAATGACATAATAATAAAAACTCTTTATATTAATTTTAGAGCGATAGCACAGCGGTAGGGTGTTTGCCTTACAAGCGGCCAACATGGCCGACCCGAGTTCGATTCCTTCGCCCCTCCCGGAGAGCCCGGCAAGCTACTGAGAGTATTCGATATGCCAGACACAGTAACAACAAAGTCTCCAATGGAGACATTACTGGGCCCGCTCGAGCAAATCGATGATCAACGGGAGGGCCTTTACTTACTTACTTACTACATCCCTTAATTAAATGACTACAAGAAGAGGTTAGGTAACAACTGACATTACTGAAGAAAGGTAGAAAAGTTTTTTTCTGTGTATTTGTTTTGTTTTGGGGCCACACCTGGCTGTGCTCAGGAATTACTTCTGACATTGCTCAGTGGGAATCCAGGGACAGTATGTTTTGTGGGGAACTGAATATGGATCGGTCAAGTGTAAGGCAAGCCCCCTACCAACTGTGCTATCAGTCAGGTCGCTAAAAGTAAAAAAAAAAATCTTTTAGAGAAATAATGTGAATATATTTACTGCTAAGAGATTAGACAAAGTCATAATAAAATAGACTTGGAATACACAAATTCATCTTGAGAAATATAAAGAGAAAAGGGGGAAGAAAACAGAAGTGTCAGAATATGTTAGCACTAATCTCTATCTGAAAATGGCAGAATGAAAATTTTATAAAAATACAAAATAAGGTGGTAGTAGAGACTGTTCAGCAGGAAAGGCACTTGAATTTCACAGAACCAGGTTTCATCCCGTATGGTCCCCCGACTCCCACAGCAGTGATTCCTGAGCACAGTCAGGAATAAGCTCTGAAGCATCATGGTGTGCCCCTCCCTCCCAAAAAAAACTATAATAAAATGAGCAAGTCTATAAATAAGAAATAAAATAAAGAAAACTGAGCTGTATTTTGACTCCAACCCATTCAGATAGTTGGACCAAAAAGTCTTTGCTGCAACAAGTCAGCTATATTTCACTCCTGGAAACCTGTTTATATTTCACTATTACACTGAAAACTAGGGTATCAACCAGGGAACAATGTAGAGACTCTGTTCATCAAAGTAAAGCTATATGAATTATGTTTTTTATTTTAAATAAAAAAACTATATTATTTTAATTATATGGCATGCAAAAGGTTACAACTATTAAAAAAAATAGAAAGTTCTTTGTAAAAGTCATTTTGTTTTGTTGCCACACCAAAGAGTGCTCATGACTTATTCTCTGCTCTGCACTAAGGAATCACTCCTGGTGTGCTCAGGAAACAAGTGGGCCAGGAATCAAACCTGGTTAGCTACATGCACAGCAAGTGCTGTACCCACTGTACTATATTTCTGGACTTTAAAAAGTTTTTAAATGATCTATGTAAATTGAGAGAAAGAAAGAGGGATTCTTGCTTGATGAACAGCTGATAAAATAGAATGCGCATTATAAATGCCACCCCCCAAAAATCAGCCAACATTGAAGTATCTACAGTAAAACTTAGCACAATCACAGAAAAAAACAAAAGACTTTATTTCATTTTCACATATCCAGGAGGATATTCTGATATCTGTAAATCAAATTACTTATAAAAGCAGTGATGATTAATTTTGTATAAAGTACATTTGTTCTAACATCAAATTGGATTGGGGAATTGGAAGGAAGAACATATTTATAGCATCTAGTAAAATATCAGAAATTATACTAGGATATGATTCAATAATGTTTTATTATAATCATAACCCCAACCACCTGCAAACTAATGATTATTCTCAACATTAATTTTACTCTCTAAAGATATAGTAAATTCCAATGGCATGTTCAGGAAACTAAGCTAATTTAAAATTTTTGCATTTTCTTCTCTATTGGCATACACAGGAATTCAGAATTCTAACTAATTAAGTCCCTTTATGCATTTTGATGCAAGTAGAATCCAACTAATAGTAATAAAGTTGCTTAGAGCGTATTACAATTTATCATCAAGCCTCAGATATTCAATTCTACGATCACAGCTCCAGTGTTTTTGCTCTAGAGTTACTTTTAACTCCTCCCAATCACCACCCCACTTAATCTCAGGACTAGTAAGTGTTTTCTGAAAGTATGGCCTATTCCTTAGTCTACTATTTTCTCTCTAATGCTTTTAAGACTCAGATCAAGGGGCAAGTGAGATGGCTTAGAGGTCTAAAGCACATGTTTGTTTGCAAGAGCCCTGAGTTACATCCTGGAGAACAGAAGACCTCAAGCTCTGCTCCGTATTGCCCAGAGACAAACAGAAATCTTTAAAAGTACCACTAACATTTGCCAGCATTCACATAAAATCACAACTCATTAAATGCATATTTGCTGGATTTTAAATACCCTGACCATAGATCTGTTATTAATTCCTACATGCAAAATTTCTGGAAAAAAAAGTCCCTTTAGTTTCATTAATTTCTAAAGTACTAACAATGGTTTCTTAAAGTACTTTAAGTAATTATTTGAATAACCATTCCTAATTAAGTAATATGTTCTAAGAAGTTGAGTTTTCCAACACTGAATATCATGAAAACTTTTTTTTCTAATTTTCAAACAATTGAGAAAATTTATTTTCAATAGTCTCAACACAGCCTTAATATAATCAGGATAATCATAAGCATGAGTGCAAATATTAGCTAATGTTATAGTGCTCTTCTTTTATGACCTAGATGCAGAAATATGTAAGCACAGACAAAGGCAGATGATCAACAACAAAAACAGTAAACCTGTGTTTAAAAATAAATAAATAATAAAGTCTAACCTTGTGAACTTGGCCTTACCTGTAGCCATAACTTGTTGTGCACAGCATCCCTGCCTGTAGCAATACACTGAAATGTAGCATTCTGCCCTGCATTCACCTCTACGTCCCCCAAACGAAGGAAATGAGGAGATTTATCTGTGAAGACAGAAAAATAATTATTTACGTATGAAGAAAACATGGTATGTTTCTTATTCCCAATAAAATAATGTTGCTGATAAATTTATATCTAGCCAAGACTAATGCCATATAAATGAAAATTGAGCTTTCTTTGTGATGAGAGACACCATTTCCTCGCTCACCCTCAAGTTCTCTTTTTCTCAATAGGTCTGTTACTCAGTGTCCTGTAATTCCTAGAACACTGTCCCATCTGGAGAAAGAGCATCCCATAATTATTACTGAAGAGAATGCCAAAGCGTGCTACATATGGGTGATAACAAAACAGTTACCAGACAAAGCAAAGAAAAGAGATCAAATTGGCATGTTAGAGCCTACGAGTAAAATAGAATGAAAATCTACAATGATATATCAGAAAGTATTATGTGACCACTGAGCTAAACTGCATTTTAACCATTTAAAACTTCTTGCTATATTTAATAAAAACAATTGGGGCTGCAGTGATACTAAGGTGGATAGGGCACTTGCCACGCAGCTGACATGGGTTTAACCCCTGGCACCCCATGTGGTTCCCATAATTTACCTGGAGTGATCCCTGAATGCAGAGCCATGAGTAAGCCCTGAGCACCTTAAGAAGAATACCAAAATAAAGCAAACAATATTCAGTCCCAATTCTTAAGGAAAAATAATAATAATAAAATTACCTCAGCTACTGTGTATATTAAATAAAAAGAGATGACTGCAATCAAAATTTACTTGAGTTATATGGCTGCCAAACAAGTATTCTCTGTAATTATTTTTAAATGGAAGCCTTATTCATGTTTTCAAGTGAAATTAAATATAAACAGGAAAATGACTGAATGAGTAACAGAAAGCTTGTGGAAGGCCATATAATAAAATGACTGCTTTTCTATTCAAATTATAGTTTTACAATGCTTTTTTCCTGAAAGCCTTTTAAAAAAATGATTATTTACAATACAATGGAGTCTCAGGGGATTAGTTCTATACCATGATATGTGTATGGAACTCACCACTCCCACCACCAAAATTCTAGCACCATGCCAAAGAAACGCACCTTTGAAACTATTCCTCTATCTCTCTCTCCCTAGTTCTTCTGGCAACCTCCCTAGTTTTCATCAAGTTAGAGTTAGTTTTATTGGTTTTTGCCAATTTGCTTGCTTTATATTTATATTCTAGTGAGTGAAACCATCGGGTAATTATCTCTGAAAAACTTTCTTTCACGTCTCCCTTTCAAGGAGTGAGAATGAAACGGACACCATTCTCATCTCAATCCAATACTGAAAAACATTAGTAAACCAACTTGAATTTTGAGTGAGTTAATTTTGTTCTCCTTTGTCTTAGAACACAGCACATGAATAAATCATCTGACCCTTTACTACAAAATCTCTTTCCATTGTCTCAAATCTGCAGGTGCTTTGAAAAAGGAACGAGAAGATGAGCTGGTGACAGGCTAGTGAACTGTGTCCTACAGAATATCAGAAAAAGCAGCACCTGAGAACTCAACAGAAATGTATATTCTCAGGTCCTACCCAGACCTAGTGAGTCAGAACCAGGAGTTCTGATCACAGGACTAAAGAGAATCTGGAATATAGATGGCTGTGTGATCTGCCACACTTAAGGGTTTGCAAAAGATTCACCAGGAGAACAAGGCTTATCTCCTATTCACACTTTCAAAATGTTAGTGTTTCTAGCAAAAGGATTCCTGAACTGATCACCTAGAATGCATGGTTCCAAAAGGAAACTGTGGGTGGGAAATGTAGGTCGGAGGCTAACTTCTCAAGTTGTTTTATGCTTACTTCTACAGTGTGCATGCATTAACTCATAGAAGGTATGATTTAAAAGCATTTAGTAAAGTCATTTGATGACCAACCAATAAAAATCTAAGAAAAAAATAAATGTACGTGTTAGAAAATTTTCTCCTTTGCTCTCCATTTTTTGTTGTTGCTATTTTAATAAGAATTTCTATTTTGATAGTTTAATACAGGTTAACCAAATATTTATCATAAAATAATTAGTACTAAATTTAGAACAAGGTGAATTATTTCATTCTCTTCATCTTACTCCAAAATTTAACTTAATACACAGTCTACATAAGTTCAATTTCTTTCAGCTGAACTGATGGTAGTCTTCCTATTTTCATGGATATTTTAATAAATCTAACAAGATAAAACAAATCCCACTTAGACTTTCGTTTGTATTTTATTCACAGCAATTAAATAATTTACAGTAATTGTTCAGTTCTATGCAATTAGTTATAAATCTGAAAAATTTTGATTGAAAAAACTATTCATTCACTGTTCATTCAGACTGAGGGAAGGTTAAGATGATGACAGCAACAACAACAACAACAACAAAAACAAATGACAATCAACAGTCAATGTCAATACAAATAAGTATTAAAAAGACAAAAACATATAATTATTAATCATAACCTACCACAAGGATAACTCAGCACTTGTATATCATCAATGGCAATATAACCACTTCTCTCTCCTGAGACTTCAGCTTCAAATATTACCTGGCAGGAAGAAAGAGAAAACATTAACAATGACTTTTCTTAAAAAGTTTTAATTAATGAAATTATTTGTCTTGCACACAGCCAACATGGCCGACCCGAGTTCGATTCCTCTGCCCCTCTCGGAGAGTCCGGCAAGTTACCGAGAGTATCTCACCCGCACAGCAGAGCCTGGCAAGCTACCCGTGACATATTCGATATGCCAAACACAGTAACAACAAATCTGACGATGGAGACGTTACTGGGTCCGCTCGAGCAAATCAATGAACAAAAGGAGGACAGTGACAGTGACAGTAATTTAAGATCAATTATTATTTTAATTTTGCAGTTCGGGCCTGAGCAAGGCAGGTTGGTACTTGCCTTGCAAGTGGCAACATGCTTTGGTCCCCCAAGTCTTCCAAGAGTGATCTGAGTGCAATTTCAGGAGTAAGACTTGAGCACTGTGGGTGGCCCAAAAATCCAAATCAAGAAAAAATAATGTTCACGGTAGAAGAATAGTTAAAACATGCTGAAAGAAAATTGAACTTGGATTTTTTTAATATAGGAAATAAAATCTGAGGCCCAAGATCAATTCTCTGACTACAACAAGGTGACACCCCCAGCCACAAAGCCAGAAGTAGTAACTGCTGCACACCACTGGGAGTGTCCCAAACTTGTTCTAAACCGAAAAAGGAAATAGCATAATATCCAAAACCTTGTTAGCATAAAGAAAACAATAAGATCAAGCAACTCAAACTCAATTTTTAAAGTAACTATGCGGTAGAGTTAGATCTCATAAAACTTTCTACTATAAACTTTCCCCATTTTGTTAGTTATTAAACACACATTGAGAACCTGCATTGTACCATGCAGTATATTAACCATGCTAAGACTCGAATGATATTATCTATCAAAAAACTAAATATTCAAAAGTGGAGGTTGATAGATAATTTGATAATTAACTCCAGCAACATGCAATAGGGGCTATAGTTAGGGAATTAAGTGAATGCAATCTAATAATTAGAAAATTTTAAGAGTGGAGAGATTAGAGAGACATAGACAAAAGGATTTAAATAAGATAGCTGCAGAACCAGAAGAAATACCGTCTGAAACGCCACAATAATACTTCTTAAATATATTAAAAAGTTTCCAGGTTTGGGGGCTGGAGAGATAGCACAGCAGGTCGGGCATTTGCCTTGCACTTGGCTGACCTGGGCTCAATTCCAGCATCCTATATGGTCCCCTGAGCACCGCCAGGAGTAATTCCTGAGTACAGAGCCAGGAGTAACCCCTGTGCATCTCCGGGTGTGACCCAAAAAAGCCAAAAAAAAGTTTCCAGGTTTTATGGTCATAAACAAAGGAAGTTTCCATTTTGTTATAGTCAAAGATGCATGCTACACTTTTTAAAGAAAAACTTACAAATTTAGCACGATGCATTTTGTATCTTATTGGATTATGACTGCTTTATTCATAGAGATACATGGATTAGTTCTGGAGTATTTAGCAGGCATTTCAAGAACTTTATGGAAGATGATTTCTAAGTAGGAATATAATATAAATTGGTCTGTTAAACGCGTACTTGACCTCAAAAAGTAAAGACTGTCCTGAAGAAAGATAATACTATACACAGAAAGTCAGGGAATATGCTAACAGTAGTGGGAAAAGAGATATGAAATGGAAGCAGTAAGGGTGAAAAAATATGACTAAGGGAGATGGACTTTTAAAAAAAATAGAGCTTGTTGCCTCCTTATACAATGGGGAAATAAAGTACATTCCTAATTCCTACTTTGGGTCAATAGCTGAAAAACAGTATCAGGGTATTTTAAATAGCCAGGACTAATGATATATATATATATATATATATATATATATATATATATATATATGGTACAGATTTGAGGAAGAAGATAGATAAAGTGCATTTCTGGCACTTAACAAATGATTTTCATAGAATACAGGTGGGTTAAAACTTAAGGAGACTATACAAAAAGACATCAAAGAGTAGAGATAGACCTAAAATAAAGTTATAGAATTGGAAATCATGAAAATGAAAAAATGTATATTAGGAATTTAACTTCATCCGTGGTTATGATGCTATAGAAAGACAAAGTAAAAGGTGGAGGAAATGAAAGGCAAAAAGAGAGCAGTTTTTGTTTTCTGCAAAGCCAACAAAGCACCATCTACACTGAATGGTCTTGGAAAGAGAAGCACCAGGAGAAGTTTTCGGGCACAGCAAAAACCCACCAACATGATAACCAGGCAAATTATAACAACCTTAACTAAAAATGTCATATACATTTTTAAAAAAAAGCATCATGATGAGCACGAATTTGATGAGCACAGAAACTATCCAAAGACATAAAATGATTCAGTGCCATTTCCGAGCCCCTAGGAAACCGGTCAATTCTTCCTAGCCTCTGAGAAACCAGTCAATTCTGGAATCAATCAAGCATAGCAGCGTCTTAAGGTAGCATGAAGGGGAGAAAGTTTAAACAGCCAAGTGAGCTGCAGTTGTGTAAAATTGGGAGTTTCACAAAACAGATACAAGCTATGACAAAAACATGAAATGCAGGAAAGCGTTCAGAGAAAGTATTATTTGGAGTATGTTTAAAGTTCTTAGGCGACCTTTAACAGATACTTTTACTATCAACTGGGTTGATTATCATAGCATTTGCTAAACACTTACTACACTGAAGAGACTGTCCTATGTTACCAGGCAGGTACACACTGACATTTACTACAGAAACACAGAAACACACACACACACACACACACACACACACACACACACACAACCACCCCTCCCTAAGTTAACACATTAACTTAATCATCAGTAACACTATATGATGGTATTATTATGCATTCAATATAAAGAAAAGTTAAATAACTGAACTGCACCAAATATAACAGTTAACAAGAAGTTGTAAAGCCAGGATAGACCCAAACCAATCTGCCTCTAGGTCTTATTCCATTAAGTTCGTTATTCTGCCTCTTGAGATAAAGAGGAAAACACAGTGAACTTATTTCCATTAAATAAACTTAAACCTTCTTTGAGACCTAAAATTTTTAATTAAAAACGAATGCCACTTTAAATTACATCCTAATTAGTTATTTTGTGTTGGCTAAACTATCTGAATTCTCAAGCATTCATTTTCCATTCCCCATTCTCCATTCTCCTACATAGGTCTCAGAGCCAATGACAATAGAGACACAGTAGGTTGGGTGGAGGACCTTTCTTTATTCATTCACTCCTATCTTCCTTGGCTCTTTCTTATCTGTTCACATACATCCCTTAACCATTACCCATTTCATCAACATAATTTGAAGCTGAGAAAAGTCTTGGTGGAAAGGAAAATACTCTATACCAAAAGGATGGCTTACAACCTATCAATACAAAATTCTCATGTCACTTGTTAAACATTCGATTAAGGACAGCAAAAAGGGAAGGAGGAAATGAGATAAAATAACTTTAACCAATCATGGTACAGGTCATCTTCATGGGGTTAGAAAACTTCCAGCTCTATCTTGAACAAAGCACTCAATCTAAGGTGAGGTTCCAATTCCAATAATACAGTTTTCATTGTTAAGTTTTATGAAAATTAAATGGTGTATAAGCATACCATACAAATCAAAAGGCATGATAATGAACACTATTAACAAGGAGTTTCTCTCTCTCTCTCTCTCTCTCTCTCTCTCTCTCTCTCTCTCTCTCTCTCACACACACACACACACACACACACACACACACACATATATATAGTCCAAAAAATAAAAGCAATGGTATAGAAATTAAAAAGTGGTAGTAGTTTGGTAGTTTGGGTTTGTGGTTGTGGTTTTTATTTTTGGAAGAAAGGGGAGGGAAGGGCACCCAGTGGTGCTCAGAACTTACTCCTGGTGAGACCATATGAGATAAAAGGAACCAAACCCAGGTCAGGTCGGCTGTGTGGAAGCAGGTGCCCTACCCTCTGTACTATTACTCTAGTCCCTAAAAAAAAATGCTAGTTTTTCTTAAAGTATTCTAAAAATAAATCGCATATCATAAAATTAACCCACTGCTTATTTCATTTCTAAGAATTAATTAGCATTCAGTTATTTTAATTTCTAGAATTATTCTGCTTTGACTTTCTCTAGTTGCATAACATTCTTTTTACTTCATGAAGGTGTTGAGTTTAAACATGATTACTACATCCTTGAGAAAACATTCTAATTATTCACTTAAATTGAATTTTATTCTGGACAATGAATTTTGGCCTTGATTTAAAAGAAAGCAGAAGAATAGATTTTTTTTCTAGCTTTAAAAAAAAAAAACCTTTTCCTTTTTAGTGACCTCATTTTCCCTGCTAAGTACTGTCTTCGCCTCATTAACGAAAGCTAGAGGAAATTTCTGAGAGCAGATTCCTTTACTGCTAAGGATCTAATCAGTTTCATCACTTCAACAGAGCCCTCACCTTGTAAGGCTCTTCTGTCCAGTCAGGGGAAGCAAATCTCACTAGCTTAATTACGCAAAGCTTGTTTAGGCTAATGCTCAGGTCAGATCTAATGCCTGATGTCAAGTCATCAACCAGGGCTTCCCAGAAGAAAAGAGCAATGTAAACCATACCAGATGTCAACTTTAACCCATCCAGGAGGCCAGCCTACAAACAGAATGAATGCTCTCCACTTTTCATGCCTATTTCACTCCAGCCCATTACCTGGAATACTGAAGGTGATGATTCTAATCAAATTTTTGCTACTCTAGCAACATTCTTGGATTATTAACTAAATAAGTGCAGCAAAGTTGAATTAAAGTAGGGGGGAAATAAAATGCAAATTTGAACAGACAAAGAAAACTTTATCCTTTGGCAAACTGAATAATACAGAAAAAATACCTCAGACTATTCAAAACCCAAAGACAGGCAGATGGAATGTAGTAGTTGGTCTATTTCATGTGAGATCAGGCACCTTATTTATTTGTATCTTTGTAGACCTGTTTGGACAATACTTGAATGCTTATGTCATAGGTGATGATTGAATATAAAATGATT